AAGTGCATTTCGCTGGATCACACGTTATACCGTCGTATCGCTACCGACAAAATGAACACTCCTCACCAACGTGGCTTTTGTTCAACCGATAAAGGGGGTGCTTCCGCTCGAGACGCAATGCGCGCAGGTTTTCTCTGAGCCTATGGCCTCCTGAGAGGCGACATCAGACCCGATTGGAAGGCTGCGTCCCAAGTACTGTCTGCACCCTGCTCGTCGAAAAGTTTGGAACTTGTTTTTTTTCTTTCTCTTCTCCTTTCTCATATCACGGCATGCTTTCTTGGTGCAGAGTGCTTATCCAATAGGCTTTGGCTTAGGGGGTACTAACCTTGGCGGTCTCTTCGCATCGCCCTTTTCCTTTCTCCTTGCCAGTGGCGTAAATTCGAGCCGGAATGTGGGGTGACGGGGGTAAATTGTGGGGGGGGGGTGACTTTCCCGGCCATGGAAATTTAAAAAGCGGACCGAGGGGGGGGGGTGACACCTTATGACACCATTGGGCGATGTTCATGATAGAGCATATTTATGGCTTTTTTATAACCCTTCCTTTTTGTGTGCCATTGAATACATTTTGGTGTTGGGAAATTCGAAAAATCTTCCCTATCAGTATTATTTATCTTTCTCACCGCGAAAAACTGTGAGTATAGGGATGATTCACTTGCCCACCCCCGGTCTCGCGCTGATACTCAACAAAATACGACACACATTTGTAAATTATTGGCTTAGACCAGAAAGACCTGGGGTTATTTTGGACCATTCCACAGCTGGCGGGGGGGGGTATACCCAGCAAGATATAGGACGGAGGGGCACTCACCTACATGTCCAATTCCTATACACACTCTACACTATTGTTACCTAACACACCCCCAAGATGTCTGCAAAGAATTCCCGACAATGACCAACAAAAAGGTGGGTGAGTGTGCGAATGTGTTGGGGGTTGCTCTCCGTCCCATATCTTGCTTCAAGGGGGGGGGGGCTTCCACCCCAAGAACTCAGCCATCCCAAGTTCGATTTGTTTTTAAAATTGGCATGCATATTAACACTCCCTGTGGATTTCAACTCAATCTGATTATGGTTTTTGCTGTTACAGACATCATAAGTTGAAGGCCACACTCGCGCCAGCGCTAGCCCGCGTGCACTGAGCAAGGCACTGAAAAAAAGTACCGGTAGGGCATATACATTTTTGTTTGACGTGTCTCATAAAAATTAGGCGCTTTTCACGAAATCGAGGTCCAAACGACTGCAAAGAGTTACTGAAATCCTAAAGGGTCGGCTCGTGAAAAAGTGCACTGAAGTGACAGCGCGAAAAACCTGCGGGGTAGGGGTGCGGATCCCGCCCCCGGCTTGGGATCCCCTGAAACTTGGCTTGAAATGTTACCCGTCGTCCTTTGATATCTGTGCAAACACGAAAAGAAGACAGCAAACATGTTGGGCCTCATGTTATACGGAAGAGACTCACCGCAATAAGTGTTTCGAAATGTTCCTCAATGTTTAGAATCCATATTTATCACAGTAAGAAATCCCCCGCAGCGCGATGAAGCGATCGATGGTGGTTTGCTGTTAATTTGGCTTCGATGAAACGACAATTGTTACCACGGTGTTTACTGCTCAAAGCACAGATCTCCAGAGAATATTCGCCCAGTGATGTTTGCATGAAGTTGACGTGCACGCGGTTGATGATATTTACAAAGTTTTCCTTTGCAAATAAAAAGCAAGATATTATCTCTTTTCTTCTCATTTTCTAAAGACTAGACCTATATATAAGGTAAACATTGCCCGTGCACCGGATCTTACTTCCGCTTTTCGGGTCGACGAACGACGGCCTTTATAGCTTCTGTACCAGAGGCCAACATATGCGTTTTTGCTAGGCAGAAAAATTTTTCTCAAGATGACAGTATTTACAGACTTGCTGTAAAGTATGACTTGCTGCAGCGGCCATAGCTGACCTGTCGCGGTAGAATCGCCAGATATGAGATGCCAGCCAGTATTCAAAAATGCCAAGGTCTTTCGGGAACAATGCGTGCGCGTGAGTCAGCGTATGGGCTACGCTGATAGGACAGACTCTCTCCCGCGCGCGCGCGTAGCCGTTCTCGATCAGATAGCCTTGTACTGGGCATGCGCTATTGGAATACTGAACTGGCTCATAGAGTACCGAAGTGTGACGTCACTGTGAACCAGAAAGTGCCGTGCAAACGAATGGAGTAGGCGCGCGTGTTGGTTCACGCGCTGGTTCTTGCGCTAATTGCTTTTACACACTAATTGTGCGCGTGACGTATCCCTTTGGTACTCTATTGCACAGTCAAATTGACATGCAAAACGGACTGCGACCAGCAAAACATACTGTACAAGATTCCATAGGGTTGCCTATAAGGGGCGGAGCTAACTCGCCAACGGCAACTGGTCAATCATCAAGAGAAGTCAAAGATCAAGTAGGCCTATTGTTTTACTGCCATATTCTCACAGGGAAGTGACAACAGAAAGCCGGATTGTGAAGAATGTTTCATACCTTTCGACTATTTATGCATTCAATATCACCCAAAAAGGAAAAAAAAATAAATAAAAAAAGCCACGCCACTCTGATGCAAGATTCTGTATCGATATAATACATGTTACAGATGTACATCAATATCGTGAGCATCGACCTCTGTATAGAGTCATATGGTGTCCCCCCCCTTTTCAAATATTCATGGCTGGGCGAGTCATCCCCCACCTCTCCCATCTCCTACCCCCCACCCCCAATTTCCAACACAGATTTTGGCCACTGGCAAAGCGGTGTGTTAATTGTGCGATATTTTCCCCCATTATTTCATTAGCGGCCAACGGGAAAAATAACATGCACAACGACGAACCGCTCGATGGCGCCATCCAGCCCCTGACGTAATATCCAACAGGGTCGCTGATTGGCCAGAACACAAAGCTTCCCCAACAGTAGACTGGTGTTGTGTTAACCCTAACACTTAATCCTTCACCTGTTGGAGGACTGAGGAGTGTTAGGGTGAACGTCGTATAACGTCATGCGATGACCAAGTTAGCATTGAAAAGAAACGTTGATATCTGACGTCTTCCTGGCGGCATGTTTGCACCCACTGCCGACGTCAGGATAACGTATAACTCACAGGTTGAGAAGACGTTTGATTAACTTTAAAATGCCACTTATAAGTCTAATTGACGTTGAGGCGATGCCGTTTCCTGGTTATTACGCTTCCAGTGGACGCTTATTCGACCCTTTTCAGGTTTCTTTTTTCCCGCATCTAGCCGACGTTGAAGTGACGTCCCATCGACTAAAATATAATCTACCTATTACTTGCGGAAACTTCCCCCAGGGGTGGGGGTTTCCATTTATCTGTTGACAAATAGAACTTTTGTCAACTTGTTCATGTAATCAGAGATTAACATTTCTAAACCCTGTTGTAGATTCCAGGATCATACTTAAAATTGATTTCCGAGCTGTTTTTGTTTATTAACCTTCCTATTAAAGTAATCATGATGGGTAGATGAAAAAAAAAATTAAAATATTACTTTTTCGGGCAATGGACGGCGTTTATATGCAAATCCCCATTCACAAAGCAAAACATTAGTGAAAATAAAAAAATCAAATGCTTGCGAAACTTACGAAAAAGGGCAAAATTACTTGGGAAATGTACAAACGCCCCATCCGTGTTGACATGCATATTAAGGTCAAAGTTTACAGAGTAAAACATTATTTTAGTAACTGCATAGCATTTCACAAACACACAACAAATATGTGTAGCAAATGTAAAGGTGGTTTACAGTAGATTACTGTCTCAAAGGGCAGTACAAGGTTACACATTTTACAATAACATTTTACAGTGCAGCAGTGGCGTAGCCACGGGGGGCACGTGACCCCCACAAATTCTCGGTGCCCGTCGGGTGCCCCCCCACTGAAAAGAAAAACGGAGGAATGGACATTGAACAAGGCTCACAAAAACTTGCCCCCCCAAAAAGCACACCACTGAAAGCTGGTGCCCTCCCCCATAAGATGGTGATGCACCCTTTGTGCCCCGCCCCCCAGTAAAATCCCAGCTACGCCCCTGCAGTGCAGATGGAAGTCACACAGAGGCTACAGGCGGATGTTCACCTGACGTCAGACCATGAACCATTGATTAACGTCAGATATTGACCATAATTGGACAAAAGTTTAACGTTCAAAGGTTGACGTCAAATCGACGTCACCTGTCGACCAAAAAAACTGACGTCCGGCTGACCAACTCTGCAACGCACACAGAAATAAAGCAGTTGTACGTCTGTAGCCAACGTTTGCCCAACGTCTGATACCGGCGGCGACGTTTTTAGACCCTTGCCGACCGTCGCCGACGTTGGGCAACATCGGTCTTCTGTCTGGGTTTAGCGTGGCATCTTTCAGAAATCAACAACGTTTGTAAACGTACCGACTTATCACCTGACTATGCTGTTCCCGGCGGAATTAAAGGTCCTTAGTCAACGCTCAAAAAATCACGATGATCGTAATTTTGAATCTGCAATTAAATCCGTTGTTGGTTTTGGTGAAAGATCTGAAAAAAAAACCATATATTTTATAGGATTTAATCTTCAAAACGCGATTTAAAACAATCGAGAATGCTGAGTGGCCTGACCGCTCTGAATAATGTAAATAACCTCGTCTGCCTTGAGCAGAAGCACCCCGTCACCGGCTAAAAAGAACTCCCACCAAAACAGTCTGTAGGTTGCTAGGAAAATCTCGCCCCCTCTTGGTCCAGCTCGGCGCCCATGTGCTCACTCGTTTTGACCGTGCGATATTGTACTCATGGAATGTTGTTTTTCAAGACATTAAGATCTTAATCCCTCCACTTCGACGAGTTCTTGGCCAACGCTGAAAACACCTCACTCGAACCATTTCCACTGGCTACCGGTAAGTCCCTACGTGTGGGCCCCATTGTTTGAGCCGACAATATGAGGAGAACGCGGATGAATATTTATAGGAAAAGAGCGGAAACGGTTAATAGAAGAAATTATACAGAGCAAATCCGTCTGCTTTCGGCTTGGAACGCCCACTCGGTGAAGATGCTCTGAGTGTATAGCCCACCGGACTTTAGGTCACTGGACGTGTCCGCGATCCAATAGAGTATCCCCGTGCAAGACATTTCGAGATTGCGACAAGGTGAGATAAGTGTGACCTCTACCCCGGATAATAAGGCTTGGGTGTTGATGATGATGACGGTGATGAAGCACAACGACCCGGGAGTGTGAGCCCACGCTTCCTCGTCGCTATATAACTCAGAGACGGCGGTAACTAGACTCGGCACACCCATGAGCAGTAAAACCGCGCTGTCCGGACCAGAGGTGTCTTGCGAAATCCACGGGTCACTCGGACTTGCACGTTGCCGGTCAGACATAACGCACTGCTGAATGCCATTGACGAGCCACGCGCCAGGCAGGAGAAGCGAAGCTACACGGAACACGGCAGCAGGGAACTGGTCCGCTCTCCACTGCCTAGAGCACGCACGCCACCCCGGCCGGCTCCACGTCGCGCGCCATGGCCCATCTTCGCCTGCGGTTCCTGCTGGCGAGCTGCTTGGTAGTCCTGACCGTGCGGATCTCGCAGTGCCAGCGAAGACGAGGTAAGCACCGTGAACCCTCTTCATGTGACAGGGCCGGGTAAGTGTTCCGTAGGCCCCAGCCCCATCATCATAGCGCTGCTCAGGCGCTCTAGACCCTGACATTTTGAGTTGATACTCAATCTATTGTGAACCAGCCGGCTTGAAGCTTTCCCAGAATCGAGTATTCAGAGAGAGACGCGTAGACATTTCAGAAGTTGTCATGAGTTTGCAACGTGTATTTTCCAAAGCTTCGAAGATGTCACATGTTTAGTTAGAGCTTTGCATAGTGCCTACTCTACTACTGAATAATCCAGACCTTGCTTTGACCTGCATTAAATTATGTTATGTTTTCACCGATGTTCCTGCCGATATTCTTGGAAAGTTTTTTTCCTGAGAATGCATCAAAGAAAGAGGAAAAAACCGAGAATGACAACAAAAAAAATGACAAAACATCAAGAAAAGTTAACATTTTGATGTTCTGTTGCAAGGTCACGTTTGCGTGTCGAGCATGCCATCAATGTTTTAGTGCGTCTTCCAGTTCAGGAGGAATGACGTAAAAGAATATTGAAAAAGTGAGACTTTCCTACTTCTTCCACTTTTTTATTTTTATTTATTAATCTATACATGTCTTGGACGAATGGTGCTGGTCCGTGAAATCAAATTCCTCACGAAAACTCTCCAGCTCGGAAAGCCAAATTCGAAAAATGTACAGTTACCGTTTCAAGATTTTGAAAATTCAGACGCTTAGGGTCAAATAAATTACCGTTTCTTGCTTAAGTGAGTAAAGAAGTTACGATCCCTGACAGGAGTGAGATTAAACTACCAATAGTCGTATTCCTGAACGTAGATTTGAAACCCTTAATGGGGTGGTAGCAGGTGATTTTTTGGGTCGGAATGAAATCTCAGAATGGAGTCAGATTCTTTAAATTTAACGTTTTCAAATGAATACACTACGTTGGGGAATCTGACTGAAATTGTGTCCCCCTGTCTATGAATGACCGTAACCAATGACTGCTTAATGGTTTGTTACGGTGCTACTCTAGACCTGGGTACAGTACGATTGCTTCCACTCTTTCGTTAGAAATCATTAGCACGTGGTCGAGATCGTCGGGCCAGACTCCCTTTGCTGCGGTAGGGAATTAACTTCAAACGAACCCACTCCCCGCTCGCTGAGTGCCATTTTCAGATGTTTCCGTCGTTATAACACCCAGTAATTTTTGAGAAGTTCATAATTTCATCAGTGGACTGTTTCAGGTAAGAAAAAGATGTAGATGTGTCCAGTAAAGTGATTTAGGGCTCAAAAGCACATCAGCAATAAAAAGATGGCACCCATCTGTATATCTATTATTGAATGATGCAAAACAGTAGGCAAACGTATAAGTGAAGCTTGTTCGAGCCTTCTGCTTGCAAATTTGTGTGACGCCGAGTAGCCTCACCTAAGTTTACCTACTGCATTGCATCATACGATAATATATTAGCATCACAGTTAGAGCGTGGCTATTTTGCTGCACAGGCCTCCCTTACAAGTAGCGGTGGGTAGTCGGATCGGGTGCAGATGGAGCGTGTGACAAATGACGTGTGCATCTGCAAGGTTTAGCAAGTCTGAACAGTAGAAGCCATGTCATAATTTCGCATTAAGTTCCTCATAGGGGCTTGAAGAAGAACCTTCCAGATGGTCGATGTGCAGTGAGTGCTTTTAAATACGGGCAATTCACAAAAGTGCGCCCCCAAGAGTTTGCAACGCGTTGGCCAATTAGAACGCACCAAATCTGTCGACCCAATGGGCGTTTAGAAACGCGCGTTGTGATTGGCCAACGCGTTGCAAACTCTTGGAGGCGCACTATTGTGAGTTGCCCGTATTGACGAGCTCAACTTCCACGAATCAACTCTGAGTTCCACCTCGTCTCACCGTCTCGCTTGTATGACAAAGCACACACTTCCTCCCGCAGGTCAGGGTTGCCTTGTGTAAGCTACTCGAACGCACTCCTCAGAAGAGATGTCCTAGGGCGGGAAATGCTGAAAAGCTATTAGGGGGTTCGGGACCCAAAATGGCGTATCACTATCCGAGGCAGAAGACAGACCCAAGAGCAGACCTACACTGCCAAACTGGGGGTGTTATCGGTGTTATTAGAGGACCATGCCGACACTTGTGAAGGTGTTAAAACTTTTGGTGTTATTTCAACACTCTTGGTGTTACTATCATCACCCCCACTGCACGTTACACTTGTGGGTGTAAAAAGTAACGCCAGCGGTGTTAAAGTAACACATTGCGGTTTAGTCATCTGATAACACCCAAGAGGGTTGTTTAAAATCACAATTTTTGCTGTGTGTAGATGATCAGTTCAGGAACATGCATGTCATCTGTTACTTCTAAATTCTCGACTTTCCCATGATCGTAAATATTGTCGATATATGCCTCACGACTCGCAGTCTGTTATCGGAAATACTGACGGCATTTTTTAAAAATCTGGATACTGACATAAAGTATTTAGATTACCGGTTTTAGTCCCAATTTGTTTCTAGTAAGCTAAGTACTCTTGGACACAGATAGTTAATGCTGTCACGTGACCGTAGTACTCTCTGGAATGTTCACGTGTAATAGGACACTCACGCAGTGGTCCTCCCGAAATGTATTCTAAACCAGGTATGGCGTGGAGTAAAGCATGAGCTTTTTTGACGTGGAGTTTGACTTGAATATTTGCGTCAACGCTCACGACCAGGGTCAAGTACATCAGTACTCATGATTTATGTCCCTTCGAAGCCACCGTACCCATCCCTATTAAAACGAAGTCCACAGCGATTATGTCTATGTTTGGAAAAGAAATCAACGAATCAGACCTACTTAAGGTTTGGAAAGGATATCTCGTCTTTGCTTCAAATTTGACAAACTTCACGAGAACAAAAAACAGGTAGGCCTACGACTGGAACAGTTAACATCCCCATGCAACCCAAGCCAGAATGCTGGATTTTTTTAAATTAAAGAAATTACTTTCATGTCGCCATTTTTGTACATCAACTCCAATTAATTAATTAATTTGTCACATCTCCAATTTTTGCAATCAGACGTTTGCAGGGTTTAGTTTTGGACAGTCGCTGTACCACCAGTTGCGTTTTCCAGATGTACTCTTTTGGCGAAAAAACTACAATTTTAATCAATAATTGTCCAGAGTTAGGTTTGACTAAGCCATGCATGAGACATAATCCGTCATTTTTGAGTATCAAGCATATTAGATGGACCTCCAGGTTCGCATTACCAGCTTTAATGAATGGGCGTTTATATTATTCATTTGACCTGGCGATTTGAGTGTGTGTGCGAGAATTTTCAAATGTTTTGCAAACACTCGTCTCCGTGCCGTCCCCTCGGGGCTTGCTATAGGATATCAACGTTTTAATATCTGTCAATCAATCTGTCGTATAAATAGACACAAATTAATGCAGCTATTATCAATATACTATGACGATTGGATTCCTCGAAAAAGCCCCATGAGGGAATAATTTGATAAATCCTAAAACTCAGACAATTACAGGCAGAGATTTTCAGAGGACGTTTGGAAAGTATAATTTCCAAATGGAAATGTCTCCAGGGAAATTTCTCAATGATTTCTTACTGATACCGGGCCTACGATAAACATCGTCCTGGTTCCAGGAAACTTCCAGTCCGCAACTTTTCATTCCTCGTTTGGCGTTTTTACAAGAGCTGTAACGAGTCACTATTTTTTTGTGTGACTCGGGACGAGTCGAGTCATCAGGCAAAAAAGTCGAGTCAAGTATTTAGCTTTAGTCAATTCGAGTCACTAATATTTGAACACAAAACAATAAATAAAAACAAGAGACAAAGTCATTTTATTGGTCATTTTAAAATGGATCTCTTGATTTCTACAGGTAGTCATACCACAACACGACATAGACATTATAAACCGGCATTGTAAGGCATTGCAAATTTTTTTTCGCAAATAAGTTTGGTTTTATTTTTGGAACTCGAGTCTTATGAACTCTAGATGGGTGATTCGAAATAGAGTCGAGTCATGTACCCGTCGGGACTCGAAGTCGAGTCAAGTTGGCAAAAATTGTGACTCGAGTCGAGCCATGGACTCGAGTTATCACAACTCTGGTGTTGGGAAATTCCCTTTCAACCCCACGCTCTCCAACACAATTCACTGCCTAGCCCAAAAGAAGTAACAAGTTCTCACCCCTAAAAATAGTATCAAAAACCCCAACCCAAAAAATCAGATAAAAAAACCAAAACAAATTGGGAACAAATCAAACCCCCTTTAATACTGTAAAGCCTGGTTTCCATATCGACGTAAGAAACGCAGAGAGCAACACAATCAAGACGCAAACTGCAACGCAGACAAATGGAAACCTGCCAAACGGAAGCGTCGCTGATAACGCAAACCAGCCCCAGACGGATTGGCAAAGTTGAGCCCGGTTCAGCTTTGTCGACTGTCTGCGTTGAGTCACTGAGTAGGCCTATACAAACACGCACGCTGGCATGACGGGCGGACCACGATGTTTCGCTCGCTTAGTATCACTCATTTTGTCCATTTTCTCCTTATTACTAGCACATGCAACCCCAACCGTCAACAACATAGCTGACCATTAACAAACTACATCAAACTGGAGTATCAGCTTGGCTTTAAGAGCGAACAGTGGCACATTTAAAGGGCCTTCCGTACAAAACTTTTCCGGACGCCATGTTGTTAATTTCTTTTGGTGGAATGACGTCGCACCGCGTCTCTTCCGCGACTGTCTGCATCTTGACGTCTTGCAGACCGTCTGCGTTACAAACGACCGTATGGAAAACAGGCTTAACTTCTGTGTCGCAATTAAAAGCACAATAAACCTAAAACATAATGACGTAACGCAATGTTCACCGTGGTGCATTGTGGGTGAAAGGCGGGGACGACAGTACGCGCGCCATTGCTAGAACATCATGCGCATGGCCAATTGTCAAAAAGGATCCTGAGATCGAGAAGGCCTTTATTTTCCAAAATGGCTCGTGTTTACTGTTGTGAGATATTGTGTGCATCAAGCACACGGCGAAAGCAAGAGCTGCATGTTTTTAAAACTTCCACGAAACCGCACGTTCGCTCCGTCTATAGTCGGGCAAAGGCTCCCTGGCTGGCGATCGTGTCCGCCATCTTTGATTTCTTTGCCCACTTTTCACCCAGAGTGCTCTGTAAAAGGACGCTACAGTCGTGTTTTTTCCTGTGTGCACGAGATTAAGCGGGAAAAATTCCGCTTATACTAGAAGCTAATAGCAAACACGATTTAATGAGATTTTCTGAAGAAAAAAAAACTGAACAAAACCAGAAAACCTGAGAGAAAATGATCAAAATCGTACCCCTGTACGTTTTCAATGGCCCTTGCTGCCAAGGCCGTTTGTGCCCATGCGTGCATAATTATGAATTTTAGTAAACAGGTTAATTGCAAAAGTCCATCAGAAAAAATATATATCAGTGGCACAGTTCTAATTCCACAATGTCTATAACCGAGGACATTAGTTACAGTCATTGTGCAAAGATTACACTCCGTGTCCTCGTCATCATCTGCTGCGAGACCTCTTTAAGTCCCCGGAAATGGAGAAATTCTCCTTGCATACTGAAACTTCTCAATTCAGACAAAATGCGAAGCCGAAACTCTCAATGGGGAAAAAATAATACCCTGTGACAATGACTCAACGAGAAACGTATTTTGATTGTGTAGAAGTGGAACGCGGGGATTTCTTCTCCCGCAAAATCCATAATAGACTCTAGATTATGAGGTGTTTCGTCTAAAATAACATACGAAAACTAAGGAAATATCCTCTCATCGGCTCTTGCATAAAAATGAGTTTTGAACGAGAGATCACATTACCGATTCGTGCAATTCAAGAAGCTAGCGTGATGTCCGTGTTATTGTCAAGGCGTGAGCCGAGCGGAATAGGTGGCAGGAGCGTCCTATCAAGATGGTCTACAACGAGGAATATTATTGGACGGGGAACCGTCACGTGATTGACCACGCACGAAATTGTTCCCACTTGTCGGTCTCTGCCCGACAACAAAATTTGGCCCGGAATTCAGTGTCATACCTGAAAACGAAAATGTGTGTCCGGATTGAGATGGATAGCGTCTGTCATTACATAGGGGCCTACAGAGGCCATTTCTGGATTGTTCGTTTGGTCCTAACTCGCAATGTCCGTTTTTTCCCCCTCTCGGGAGTGAAAGGCGACAGGGCGACGGTTGTGGTTACTAAATCCGAAATTTGCGTAAATTCACTTCGTCTTCAGCAAGAGCTAATCAAGATTAAGTCAACAAAATAATCGGACCAATGTATTCTCACTGCAAATATGCGGTTGGTGCACCGGGGATGTTGATTATTTAAATTGACAATTGGTATGAGCTAGCCCTGAATTATTGCCTGGACTTTTGAATAGACGGAGGAACCGTGCCGATAGAGGGCGACGAATACCGAAGAACGTCTTCTTTGTATTTGTTTATTAGGAACTGATAAACATTTAGATGATCCCACAATACATTGCGCAATCATAAATGGCTGATTCATTACTGTATCAAAACCATACTCGGCATGTTAAAAAAGTATCCAGTATGATTTATATCTGGGATGTCCTTTCGCGGTATTTTCTCGTTCCACAACAGTCTGGGGACACGCCTTGTTCTTTCCTGTATGTGAAAACAGTTTTATTGCACGTCTTGAGAGGATACTAGTCGTCACGCACGCATGGAAGCTACCAGTGTTGAGATGTCGGACTTATTAAACTTCCCTTTGACGAAAATCGTCCACAGCCAGGATCATAGCCTTTTTCAAGTCTGGTTGTTGGGAGTCTGGTGCTGTTACAAAAAATTGTGTCCCTTCCATCGTTAGATGCAGTGCTCATTGTGTTTGTTGTTATTCAAAGTTGTAAACGTGGAGATCAGAACGCGAAAAAATGCTGAGAAATGTTGAAAAATTATTTGTTTGAATTGTGATCCATGTGTGGAAGTCTGAAAGGGGAGAAATGTACGCCCGACCAGTATTTGCGAGCATTGACGTGTCCGGTGTATAGGCCTACATCACGCACACGAAAATCAACGGACATGGTTTCAGAAAATTTCTGCCAGTTTTCGGACATTTTCGAAAAAAAAAGGAGAAATTCCTTTCGTTACAATCGCATGACCGTGGCTGCTACATGAACTTAAAATCCCTCAAAATGGTCGACCTCCTGCTTACTAGTGCAGATGTCACAGATTACTCATGTAAAATGTTGCTTCGATGGCATGTTCATTCCGGTTCTAACTTGCGAGCCAACCGTTAGCCGTAACTCTGAGTTCAGTTGTTTTTCCTGTCATCTCTCCACAGACTGTGATTGCGGTGCTGAGGGTAACATAACCTACGTATGCCTTCTAAGATGTGGGCGGGGCAGCTCCGGGGGCAGCGTTCTCGTATTGCCGGTGAAAAAATCTCCCATTTCCTTGCCGGTAAGAGCTGGAATTGACAAGAGTCCTCTGTCGATCAGTCCGACAGATTTGCTAGGACCACAGTGGTCACTGATGAGACAGAGCCCTTCGAGTCGGACACGTACAGTTTTGTTTTACATCTTTTCCAACCTCCATGGTTTTACATACCCTTTGTGGACAGCCCTTTGTGGATAAAAAAACATGGCGATAATGATCGTTTTCTCTCACCACGATCATTCCTTGAGCTGGAGTTTTGATGATTAACATAAATGATCCCAAGTCTCTCATAACCCCAACTCCAAAATTCCACTGAAACCTTTTTGAGAGGGACACATCTTTGTCGTCGAAATCACTTTCAGCTTTCACAACAGCCCACAACTCACAAGGCCAACACAACTTGAGAAATCCACTTGAATTCAAGCCACAAACTCTTCAATCTCTGAACAGACTATTCGAAGATTTTGGGGGAATTTGCTTGCTGCATATACCCTCAGAGAACCGGCCAAACGAAACACCGAACGCCCAGTGATATGCAAAGTACAGCCTCTCAGCGCGCATTTTCATCAACCAGAACAAACACAAGGGAGGTCAATCAGTATGGATCAAATCCTAAGAATGCAGATTACGCGAAACTACGCAAAAGCATGGCTTCTTTTCTTGTAGCACGCGAATCACAAATATCCCTGGGAACAGTGTGGGTCACACGGCGGGGCACATTATTGCCCGGAGAATCCTGCTCAGTTCAACATAAAATTCAGCGATTCATTGGCCTTTTTTATTACCAAGAGTCGCTTGAACGTAGCAGGTGGTTTCTGCATTAAGTATATCCGCAGTAAAGTCGGTTTCGTTTATTGATTCAAGGATTTGGTGTTGGCGTAGACGATGGTTGTAAATTAAGTTAGGGCAGTTGAAACCAGATGTGAACCACGCAGTGTGTTTCCTGGTCAAGTGATTGTAAGTTGTGATAAAAAAAGAAAGCAGTTTGAGTTATAAAAAATACTTGTCGGGTTTTATATTGTTTCACATAAAATTCCTAAGAATAGTTATTTATCAGTTTACCAGCCTTGGATGTCTGTCACCCTCCCTCAGAAGGGACTATAGGTCACGCCCACGATAGGGGATAACTCATTCATTCTTGCCCGCTAAAAAACGTTTGAAACCGCAGCCAGTCAATCTCGCGAAATTACTGTCGAAAGTTTAGGTTTTTATTGCGAGAAAAAATAGCTCCAGGTTGACGAAAGTATCACTGTTATGTCAAGTTTTATAATGTCATAAAATGTGCATTCCGGCAACAGAATTCTCCAGTAAAATATCAATATTCAATAGTAATTGCAAGGTTTGGGAACTAGGGGCATAGTCTGCAAACTTCAAGTTCTAAGCCTTTTAGTCCATGTCAGTCCAGACAATCCTGCAACTACGATGGAAAGCTAGCAGTGATGGCCCAGCAATTGATGATAGATCGGAATATGAAAAGTATACGGTACACGAATTCACTCAACGAACGGATCTGACGTTTTACTTGTAGTTTGCCAAATCGTATCTCTTCCGTTCATTAGCACACCCAAATTATGTTCTTAAAGACTACAATAACTCGACATTTGGGGGACTCATACAGGGAAACCAGTTCGTGTTTCCATGGCTTTTCCTGAATGACAATGGTTCCGTTTATGTGTGTGACATAAAGCTGTGGTCGAAGGTTTTTACACTTTCATTGAGATTGTTTAATTACATTTTTAAATCCAGAGACTCGCTGTATTTCTGGCAACCGTTCTTTTTCTATATGTGATGAAGCACAACATCTTCTCTACTTTGTACTTTTTAGTTACGGGTTTATCTGAATGAAGTTAATGCAATGACTGGCCAGCAAAAAAAACAAATAAATCCAAGAATTGGCAGACTCTTCAAAATTACAATGAAACACTTTCGGACAAGTGTGTACAGACTCTCAACCAAAAGGGGACTCATCAATCACCCTCCGTGCAAAGCTTCAATCTCACCGATGCTCACATCACCCTGATCGAGTTGTCCGTTTTCTGACAGTTCCTTTCACAGGAAAAACATGCAACGTTCTACAACAGGCCCAAACGGGATACAGAGACGGACAGGAAAGACAGTGGTGAGTGTTCGAACAAAATGGGTGTAGCAACGACTGTGGTTAAATAATTCCAACAATGTCAGGCAAACCGTGGGGCAAGTTTGAGCGACGACTCCAGTTTGCCTGTGGTTTGACCAATGAGTTCGCTCGATCATTGATCTATTTGATCAGTTGGAACCAGGCTATTGTGCTTATTGTGCTTACGCGCGGTTAGAAAGCATTTAATTGCTGGTGGAACGAAAGTTAGCGCTCGAACGTGCCCATGGATCATCAGACTATATGGTCGACCATTTGGAACCAGACTTTCGGGAAGAGCTGCATCGCTAGTTATCATTAGCACTTTAAGAAGGACCACTGGTACGAGATGGCAAAGACCACGCAGCCCAGCGGCAACATGTGACTGACGATGGAATCATGCAGAGTGGCTCAACTCGAGGCCTTCGAGAAAGCTGTTTTGCGCGTGCGCATTTGTGTACAGCAAATGACCAGGTTAGGTGCAGCTCGAACTTGCTCAAGGGGGGGGGTATGCTCATTGTACTAGTCGACGAGCCTTGTTTACCGGACTCCTTGTAGCAATGACTTCACGTTCGCAACAGGAGGCGAGGTATACCTAACATTGCCCCAAATTAACATAACTGGTACCCTGTCGGTTGCATTATTACATTATATACTTCGAGAGACCGGCGTAGGAACCATGTAAGGGCTCTCCTTTGGCGAAGCGTAGCTGGGGCCGGGATAACGGCGGCCACGCCAAACCCCGTCCCGCCACAGAAGAGCAAAATTTGTTTTGGAAGAGTAGTTAAGGGAGAAAGATGATGCTTTTGGTCTGTTTCCTCTCTTTGCCTTCCACAGTTGACACGATGAACCGTAACAAGTTGTTAACAATAGCATGTTTTGTAAAATGAAATTTGCTAGAAAAATTAAGCCAGTCCTGTTCTATTTGGTTTGTTTGTCCATCCATGTGAATGTTAATATTCGGTAAGGTGCTTCATTTTGCACAGTGCAAAACTGTGATGTTATAAAACAGCACTTTTTTGGTGTCAAATGACCGCGTCAAATTGTGTTAGTTCAACACCGCTCGTGTTACTTTACCCACCAACAGATGGTACAATTCACTGGGGGTGTTAAAAGTAACCCTACTGGTGTTGAAACGACACCAAAAGTGTTAACACCGGTTAAAGAGGTCGGCATGGTCCTCTGATAACACCGAGGGTGTTAAATTGTAGTTCAAAAATGTGTACCCTCTGACCAGATTAAAAATATTCTCTCTAAGAACAACTGGCCGCATCCAACGTCTCAACTGACCAGTCCTTTTCTTCTCTCCCCCCGCCCCGTTTGCAGACAAGCCCCACCCCTTCTCGCTCGCCTTCCTGACGAATGCCATGAAGGAGCTACGGAAACTTCTGGGTCTGAATACCGTCGTGTCGCGTGGCTCCCAATACGCCTAAAGTATGCATATTCATGAGAAGAGTCAACCTCGCTTCAAGTCGCTCCGCAGCAGTTGTGGGCCCCTGAGAAAATTTCAGTCCCGAACGTGTTACGACATTTCGCTGCGGACGCACTTCAAAGTAGAATTATATTTCTACGCATTTTTCATTTAGGCTTCAGTGAAGCCTTATGTTTGAATTTCACAAGTGTGCGTTTGAGACATTTTATAAATAATATTGCAGCGAGTTGAATCCATTTGTTTTTAAATGTTTGAGACATGCAAAAATGACTGACAATGGAATTACATGAATAGGCCTACAGTTATTTACTTTTGACAGTAAATACAACGAGAATTGGATCGCCAGATTAAGCTGGGCGTACGCATTGTACGTGTGTTGCAGACTCACTCAGTGTACTTCAGACTTATTATTTTCGTGACTTATCACTCTGCTGATTTTTAGTGAAACTCCGCACATCTATGAGGAGTGCTCATTCCTAGCTGGACGTTTTTGTAGTACAAAACGGCCATGGAATAAACGACTATTTTGAGCAGCGATCATTTTTATTTGTGTGGGAATATTTATTCCTATGGATTAAAGAAACCCGTTGGTATTCCATTGGTGCATATCGCATGCGCACTTGAATTCGACGCTTTCGGCTTCAGGGAAAACCCTGCTGCCTTCAGCTTGGGTGCAAGTGACAGACGATCTTAGCGGGATGGTAGAGCCTTTGTGGCGAGTAGACTGGTCCGATTCGACGCCGTAACTGCGGTGGCGCCGCGCTCACACGCGCATTTTTCAGCTTAACGCGCGCGCATTTGGCTAATCATTACATCCTATTGGTCAAAGAGGCATGCAACGCGCGCGCACCACCTGTCCACGAGTGTTGCACAACCGCAGTAACGGCTTCTAATTCTGGTTGTCAAATTACAGTATACCGAAGGTTGAATTTGCCTACGCTTTTGGATTTAGTTGGGTGCCGTCAGGGCTACGGTTTTGAATGGAACCTTCTATGGGTTTGTATGTCTGTGACTATGCCCTCACGACTTGCGTGTGAAGGGCGCCCACTTCGCTGAGTCGTATTCAATTACATCCTGTACATCCCGTGCGCGCTGAAACGTTGCTACCGCTAAAGACGCCTTGAAACAGAGACTATTCCGCCTCCTGCGCATAAAAAGCATCGAGGCCTTGGATGGAACACAGTCTGAGAAACCTTTGTATCTGATCTACACGTTCCCCACATTCTTTGGACTGCTTGGGAAGTGTTTTTTTTTCAACGCAACTCACGAGTGCATTGCCTTGATTGCCCAATACGTACCGATTTCATATTGCGTCCACTCATTTGGACTCGTTTGAATATCTGGTAACAAAAACCGACATGTGCTGCACCTCTTTAAATGTGGGTCAAAAATGATTTATTTTTTTGAGGATATGGCTCGAAATATGTTCGATATTTTCTTTTCGTGTTAATAAATATGTAATCAAGACATTGTGAAGTAAATAAACGTTGATGACACATTGGAATATACTGCATAACAGATGGTTATTGAGGGAAAGTTGTACCTCCATGGTAACAATAAAGCGACGATTATATAAAAACCACAAAATGACGATAAGTTGTGAACTGGAAAACGGGATAAAACCGATTACAATTAAATAAACTGGCATGCCAGCCTTCGTTTCCTAACACCATTTTCATGCCTATGCTTGTCCAATCCTTACAAAAGTGTGATGATTTTGCTGCCCATGTGTCCTTCATGTCATCCTGGGGTTATTCGGTTTCTTTGTAGTGAGTTAATACTGAAAGTGCACTTACATATGAATACCGTGTAAATCCGGTCACACATCAATTTCCCAAACAGAGAGAGAAATGTATTTGCTCAAGGCCGTGTTCGTCTAATTCTGTTTAAATATTCATGCTCGTCATGATGAATGTTTGCTTAGATGCTACCCTGGGAATCAGCGATGTTTTGTTCTTCAAAGCGAGTCACAAATATAACGCATGTTCTTAATTATTCTTAATAAACCACGAAAAAGAAACCTACGTAGAGAGACGTGTAAATATGACATCATGTTTGGGGTGACAAATAAACATTTGATAGCCTGGTAAATCCTGAATGCCTGTTCAGATGAAAGACGTGAAGAAAAAATCGGTGAAACCTCCGACGATCCGGCAACAAACCTCTCTTGGGGTTGATGGTGGGGAAACAGAATGCGAACCAATCCTTGTCATCTGACGGGCCACTGGCCTCTTTAATGAGCTATCACATGAGATCTTGTTGGAGGCAAAACTCGCAGTTTCCTGCAAGATCACGAACATTCTCGTTCAGTATACACCACGGTTAGGGATTGCTTGCTCCAACATGGCTGCCTCCCCAAGCTCTATACGTGTGCTTCTGTGTTCGTAATGGAAAAAAAAAGTTGATTAACTTGATTCAACTCTACCAATCATGTGTTAGTCTCCGTTATGATAGAGCGTCTCCAATTATGATTGCTTATCATTGGGGAATATTTGGCGATTCTGTCTCTGTCTGTATACGTCCACATGGAAACCGCACTTTCTGTGCGATGCCGTGAGTATTCCGCTCACGTTCTGATGAAAGAAACATTGTACTGGCTGTTGAAACTGCGCGCCCGTCGCTTAAGGAATATAGTTCGTCATAATCTACCGCCTTAGGGCCCATTCACTCCAACGAGTGGTCGTGGACGTTAGTGTGGTAAAAATCGCTCACGGAGATTTCCTCTGCGACCTCTCTCGTAATCCACAGCGGTCAGGCCGTGGCCGAAGTCCGGGCGGCTGAACACATCGAGAACAATGACATCCAATGGGACTGTTTATACCGAGAGCGAAGCAAGCGCCTGACAGGCCAGTGACCCGCTGTGTTTAAAAGCCAAAGTGAACTTTTGATGCGACACCACAATGTGACACGCCGGGAGAGTAATGCAGACGTGTGCCGAGAAAAAGAAAAAGTTCCGAAAAAGTCTGCTTGGTCAGTTTTTCTTGTTCTCTGGGTCAAAAGAATTGTTGATGGCTGAATTAGTTCCAAGAAAGTGTTGTTCTCACTAGGGCAAGGTTAAAACCATCCCAACTTTCAGATTCAGGCTATATATCACACAGCAATTCATGTCGTTAAAGGTGGTGTACACGTTGGTTTTTTGTCGTAATTTTACAAGATTGGCTGATTACGGTGTGTATTATTCACTACAACGTACATTCCACTCACTTGTTTCATGATTGAGTCAACTGCTTTGTGAAAAATCGAGAAAAACAGGGCGGCATTTTCAACGCCTGAATCGAAGGTATTGTAGTTTATCTTGCGTAAAATCTATGCATTATAGGGCGTTCGTAGTACAAGCGAACATCGTCCGTGGGGTCAAGGTGGAAAACAGGCATGACAGGTTCTCATTCCCCCCTTGAGAAAGGAGCAGTTTTCAACGGCTAGGAGTAATCAATGAAATTACCTTGGAGTAAATGCACGGCCTCGACAATGTAGCATTGCGGATTCGTCGAAGAATATCATCCAGGAACACAGCAGTCGACTCGTGTCCGAGACATCGAAACGAGGAGGCCTATATGATAATGCACGTGGGCACGATCGTGTTTATAACGGCACTTTCTGTCTGTTCACACGTCCATGAAAGTTTTAAACACCATTCATAGTTGAGTCATTAATAATCATCAGTAAAAAAGAATTATGTCTTAAAAAAGGGAGGATTAACGTGAGGAAATTGTACTTTTTGTTGACGAAATTCGTCATGCTCGGAAACAGCCATCATATTGGATCACACCATTATTATCCAGGGGTGATTTTGAATACGCAAACTTTTCCAATTAAAAATCTTTCCTTAAATAAAATTCAACTTCACACTAATCCAATTTATTTTTACTTTACGTCTAACACCGTGGTTTCTATAATTTCAGTTCACAGTGCTTTTGGTGAAAGAATGTGGGTATATTTTTAACTGCTTTTAGGTCTATCCGTTCATTAATGGAGACTCCCACAACATATGCAAACACTACATGTAAAAAAACAGGCGCCTGTTAAAGGATGTGATGTGCGAAGTAAAATTAACTCCACAAAGAGAGAACAAAATTTTTGTTTTCTCAACACTACAGCATTCTGGGTGGAAATGTTTTACAGACTGATTGAGACTGTTATGTACTTTCTTTCAAGTAAGATATTTCCGGATTATACGGTCGTCCGATTTTCGGGATTTTACCAATGGTGTACATCATATTTAAGACATGTCCAATATTACAAATATCGATAAATCTTCAAGAATGAAATATAAAAAAAAAATCAGAAAAAATCATTCCTCTTCGGTTGCGTAGATTTTCTCCCACTGTAATACGTAGCCAATTCTGTCTCCGTTTCATTGCCTGACAGTTATTCTCATCGTCTACCTTCTTTTATACAATGAGAATCCCTAGTGTCGGTCGCTGGGGGACCGGAAACATCGTCTGATCAACAGCCTTCAAACAGTGACGTGGATAGCTGCGGGACCGCAAGGAATACCCCGGACGAGCCTAGAGAATTCACTGGAGCAAGAGAGAATAATGCAACACAAACAAACTGGAATGTGATTGTGCCGTGCTGTAAACAAAAATGAAAGCTTTCATTCTTTCTACGAGATTCTTCTTCTGATGAGAGATGAAATGGTGAGCTGAGACGACCTGGGAATCTGAGCGCAAAACTAGACATTGTAGTTTGAAATATTTGTGATGCGGACTCACTTCCTGTGTACCGAAGCTCCCAAAAGAAATCGACAACACAGATTGACCTATACCGAAAGCAAACAAAGATCGCCATATGACTTCTCACACAGGGCAACCGTGGCATCGACGGTTGCCGTGATTGGCTTTAATGACATCATAGAAACATATTTGTGTGTGTTTTTTAACAGTTTTAAACTAATTTGGCAAATGGAAAAGGGTTGGATAATGGCGACTGACTGACAAGACGCATGACCAAGAGGGACTGGACTGACAACACAGCAACCTACACAGCCATAATCATACATTCCGCCTGGTAATTCTCAAAATCAAAGGCCACATTGCTCCTGTTCTGTGATCAATTTGAGGGAGTATCATCTAAGACATACCAAAAAAACCACCAAAAACCTCAAAACAAAAAAAAAACCAAAATCTGTTAGTGAAACTGAGCCACCCCTTGTAATATCGCCACAGGCTACACTACACGGCGAAGCTGCGTGGATTTCTGACATCGACCGAGAGGCTTTTGAGAGCTTAATTTGTTCGCCAGTCACTTATTGAAATTCGTGCTGGGCAGGTGGAATGACGTAATCGTATAGACAACTTGGAAGCCAACATCAGCGAAACAACAGAGTTCCAGAGTACGCGTATCAGTGATCTAGAGTCGGAGATGGCTGACCATGATCTGCTCGTATCAAAGATGGCAAAGGCAGAGAAAATCGCAGATCAGGCAGAACAAATAAACAAGCTGGTGCGCTTCTCCCGCAGGAATAATTTGAGAATTATTGGTCTGCCACAAAGGTCCGGAGAGGAATAGCCCTGACAAAGAAGTTACTGAACGACAAGTACGACATGGCTGACGTTAAACCAGAAAGAGCTCATCGTGATGGCCCCAAATCTGAATTTCCACGTCGGTGATGATCTGAAGCAAACTTCACATGATTACGAATATTTGTTCATTGTAACTGAACGTGAACATGCCTGTAATTTAATTAATCGTATAGGAAACGTCTACAGGGCTTCTGGTATTCAACCTGATAATTTCTTACATCATTTTTATTTGTGTCTGAATGCCATTTCGAAAGAGAGGAAGCTGTTCTATCTGATGGGCGATTTTAATCTTGACTTTAATATTGAAATACTCTGACCATCGACCCACAGACGACTTGTTAACATATTTTACTCATATGGCTTTCGCCCTTTGATTGACCAGCTCCTTCGTATCAACCCAATTAGTAGCACACTTATTGACAACATCCTTACTAACAATGATTCTATTATCTCTGCAGGTATTCTTAACCCTGACATCTCGGATCAGTTGCCTTTATTTCAAGCTACTCCCTCTGTTTTTTCTACTTTCGAGGCGTAATCCGGAGACTTACACCACAAGGGATATAAATAGCAATGCCTTTCGCTCTTTTACGCTTGATATCGTATTGGCAAGACGAAGACCCCAAAACCCCTGGATTACTCCAGGTATTGCCAACTCCTGCTACCGCAAAACCAAATTATATCGACGATTCCTTCGTAATCCATCGAATGCAAATATGTGGCTTTACAACAATCACCGGAAGTGCCTGACTTCCATTATCCAACTAGCCAAGAAATCCCATTATGCCAAGAAGCTTGACAAATGTAAAAACAAAAAGAAAAGTACCTGGTGTGAAATCAATAAGATCCTTGGCAAAGGGAGAAAGGTTTCAACCCCGGATAATTACTCCGCTAGTAATCAAATGGTCTCTATCCCAGAGATTATCGCTAATTCTTTTAGTTCCTACTTCACTAACATTGGCTCTTCTCTCTCTAATAAAATACCACCTACTAATGCTCACTTCATGGATTATCTTCACAATACTAGTCCCTCTTCTCTTTTGTTGTTACCTACGAGCTGTTCTGAAGTTTAGTGGTATGAACAGTGGTACAAGTCCTGGTTTTTACGTTATTCGCTCATCGGTCGCTAAATCTGTCTTTTCTCTTA